ATATCAAGACTGAGAAAGTCAACTCTGATCAGCGCACCAGTCCTGACGCGTTTGACACAACACGAATTTTTACCCTGTCATCGGCGTGTGTTCCGCTCTGTGCAAGGTGACACGTTTGGCCTCATTCGCAACGGCCAAGTGGTGGTTGTTTTTGTGTCAATTATTGTACCGGTGTTCAGAGTTTGGCACTGGCTGGTATAACTTATTGTCTGTGGTATTGTCTGGCTGGCTGGCTGGCTGGTGGTTGGAGGGTGCGACTGTTAGGTCCTACTACTTTATTCCCCCCCCCTCCCCCCTCTATTGTTACTGTCGGTCGGTCTTACTTTTTCCTAGCCTTTAATGACTGTGTTGTTGTGTTGATATGCTTATTTTTACCCAGTCTGTCTGTCTGTCTGTCTGTCTGTCTGTCTGTCTGTCTGTCTGTCTGTCTGTCTGTCTGTCTGTCTGTCTGTCTGACATGGAAAGTCACCTCTGATTAGGGCATCTGCGTGTAGTTCGCTCTGTGATAGTTGACATGTTTGCCTCCTTCACAACGGAAGTGGTAATTGTTTTGTTTTTTGTGTTAATGTTATTATTGTGTTAGTGTTCGGTGGATAGAGAAAGCTGGTCTCTCTGTCTTTTGTCTTTTTACTAGACTGGGAAAGTCACATTTAATCAAACCACAGTCTGCGGTGCAGCCGTTAGACTGTTACGTCGTCGCACACAGAAGACACGAGTTCGATTACCGTGTTGGTATTTTTTTTTTCAAATAGAGTATCTCTGTCTGTCTGCTGCGATGCTGTATCCCTTTTAAACCCGGGTTGGCCCTTCCTTCGGCCTCCTAAATTATCTAAGCAGTGTCAATGGAGGCGCAAAACGCCTGCAACTTTTTCACCTTTGATCAACGGAGACGATCCGCTGTCTTTGACATTGTGCGAAGTTTACTCTCTCACCGGCGTGTGGTCCGCTGTTAGCAAGTTGACACGTTTTGCCGTCTTCGCAACGGCTTAGTGGATGTCGTTTTTATGTCAGTTGTACGGGTGTTTGGAGGGTCCCAGAATAAGAGTGTTGTATGGCAGGCCTTTCTTCTTTTCCAAGCCACTGTAGTTCTGCTCTGTTTGTGTGTCAATGTCTCCGTGTGTCTGCCTGTCCGTCTGTCTGTTTGTTTTTCTGTTTGTCTATGTATGTCTGTTCTAAATACATGTATTCATGTTCGTTTGCATGGTGCTTATACGGGGTGCCCACTACGGATGGGATCGGCCGATCGGCCCGATCCAGCCGTAGTGGGCACCCTGTATTACTTTTAACCCGACCAAAAATAGTTCAGTCACTCGAAGGTACAGCAAGGTTTCGACTGCTTATAAAGTGTATAATAGGTGTACTTGCACGTGTGCTTGTTGTGTATTTGTTTGTGAGTATATGTGTTATCTCTAAACTAAGTTTGTGTGTGTGTGTGTGTGTATGCGTGTGTGTGTATGTTTGTTTGTATTTCCTCTTGAATGAGTGTGCGTGTGTGTGTGTGTGCTTGTGTGTGTTTTTGTGTGTGTACATGTGTGTGTGTGTGTGTGTGTGTGTG